TAGATGATCTGATCGGGTCCCTCCTGACCCTAGCTACTAAGAAACTATGAAACTATGAACTTAACATTAAGCACTGAATAAGTGTTGTTAATATATAATTTGAGCAAAACAGTGGCTTTGATAATATCTGTTTTTTAGAATGGTGGTGGATTCATCTTCTCTTGACTCCAAGCACTCTTCATTATACTGAACACAATCTCTTCACTTTCTTCCCTTGCACTATTCCACATCATTTCTGGTCCAACTAACACAGCCTGTCAAACCTTAACCCTGGTCTTCACATTACATCAGTGTCAAAGATGTTACAACCTAGTCTGTTTTGGACAGACCATCACCTCATTGAAGCTCTAATTAAAGCAGCAAGATGTACAAGCACATCTCTGATTCAACCATGAAGACTCTCACACTCCAAATTCTAACATGTAATAAATGACATTAGCATTTCACTCTGCAACACAAGGTCTTGAGTAGCAAGCAAATTATCATTGCTGTACACAATTCTGACTGGCCAAACAGCCCTTTTCTCCTCACCAACAGTGCAGATCTGCTTGATCTTTTGGCATCCTGAGTCAAGTGAAGGCAGAGGAACATATACTCAAGGAATACAATGATGGCTGAAACAGACAGATTGAAACAACAAATTCCTCCAGGCCTATGATAAGGTTGTATTACAAGCTTAGAGAAACTTCATATCAGCCTCAGTGAACCTTCCAAATCAGACCCCCAGAAGCTACCAGGGGTAATGGTTTCATTTGCCCATAATAGAGCCAGACACCAATCAGAAGTATTATCATACTCCACAGCAAAAGTCATGTATATTCAGGAAAGATTTTCAAACTGGCTGGCTCTGCTCCCTCTTGACAGGCAAACAAACATCTTTGCATTCCCCGAGTTTAATACACCCACTTACAAAAAAGCAGTGTAGACTGACCCAGGGTCTCAAGCCAACCTCTATGAAGCCAACCCATATCTTATCTGGCTAGTAAAGAAGTCATGAGCAGTCAGTACCACTCATGCCCAAAACAGCCACCCTCTTATACAAAGGTCTTCTCTTCCTCCTTCAAACAAAGAATAAATTAAGTGAATCTGCAAGAAACCAGTGCTTTCCAGGTACTGCTTAGCAGCAACCAAAGATTAATTATGATTATAAGAGTGATTATATAAGGGGATTATAAGTAACAGATTTAGGACAGAGTAGAACATTAATTCTAATAGACTGCTTTCACTCTATAAGCACTGAACTAATTCTACATAGCATAGCAGTATGCATTAAACTAAGAGTCGACATCCAGTAGCCTGCAGGTCAGATCTTGCTCACAAAGACACTTTTATCTGGCCCACAAAACACACCAAATTTATAGATCCCACTGTTAGTAAGCAGCAAGTGATGTGGTGAGTAGTGGGCATTCAGGATTGAGCCTGCAGTCTCTGGGTTTGACAGAAATAGCTGGGGGCTCAGGCAGGTAGTCAGGGGTAGTGAGGGTGCATAAGAGGAGGTGAGCTGGTGGGAGGCAGGCTTAGTCTGTCTGGGCATTAGAAAGTCACTGGAGTGCTGAGAAGTCAGCAGGGGCTCCGTAGGAGCCCAGGGTGGAAACATTTCTGGACAACAGATCAGCCCCATTCATTTCAATGGGGGAGCTGACCTGTTGGCAAAGAAAAAAATTCTTCCAAGTCATGCCCCAGACTTCAGGTCAACCTCCAGACCACCAGCTGTGCTAATTCAGCCCCCTGTTAATAAAAGGTTGCTAACCCCTACCTTAAATAATCATTTTGCTCTACTGTTTTGGCTGATGAAATAAAGAGCCAGAGCTTCTCTTAAATCTATTAAAAAGTTCTCAAAACACAAGGAAAATGTATTTAAAAATAGGACATACACTCCTGTTAGCATTCTAGCTACTACCTGCTGACTTTTACTAAAGTAAGTTTCACTTCTGAAGCAGACAAAAATTTAGTATAAACAAGTCAGTTACCAAGCTATTTCCATAAACAACTGCATTAAACTTGTTTCGCTGTTTCATTTCAGCAAAAAGCAATAGTAAGAAGTAAAAGCACCCAGTACACTATTTGTCTAATAATGCAAAGCAAAGCACCATTTCAAACCATGCTAGAGCAGGTTTGAGGATCTGGAGGTCACACAAATAAAAGCCACCAGGCCCTAGCCCCCATGCTTCTCCCATGATTCGTGCCTGCCTGCTGATGTTGTTTCCTCATCACTTTTGGTAAATTAAGACAACAAACAATTTCTTCATGTATTTGGACAGGATTATAATGCAGCAAAAAGTATCTCAGATTGTACTTCCCCTGCAGATTGTTTCATAGGCAATTCCAGCTGTGTGAGATTCCTCCCTTTCTCTTCCCATTCCGATCTGTAGCTCTGTTATGGGGCACCTATGAATTCCTCCAAAGACAGATGTGGCTGGATGAATTATGAAAAGAAGATGTGTTTTCCATAAATATCTGAAGGACATACATTTCTAATTTGGAGGTCTTGCTTCTGCACCCATCTACTGCTTATAGTTTGATAGATTAAAAATTCTACCGAACTTGTAGAAGGCTACCTCAATTGGATACTTTCTTTTCTTTGGAAAGGAAGACTGTGGAGAACTGTTTTTATCACTGTAGTATGTGTGTGTTTGTGATGGATGTCCTATGACAGAACAAAATTAGCTGTTAAGGAGACAATATGGCAGCCTAGATATGGAGTACCCCACTCCTAACATGTAACAGACAGTTTAACATAGGGGAAGGGTAACTCCTTGGTCCTACCTCTACTGACAAAGCTGCTCTGTCAATGCTGAAAACCTAGACAACAACAGACAGTGACCAGAACCCCTCTGCAGACAGGAAATAGAGAAATTGTCAGTAGCTCAGAAGAGCCCAGATGTTCAAAAAGTAGTCTGCAAATTGGTTCCCAAGAGAATGGGGGACACCATGGCTGTGTCATGTTCACTAGGGCTGTGTGAAGCTTTGGTAGGTGATTTGATTAGGAGATTCAGCCTGATTTGGTGGCCGAATCTCCGAATCCAAATTGAATTGGGAGACCCACTAAAAGGTCCAAATCAATTCAGATGCCTCCGAATTGATTCAGAGAGATTCGGCATTGATTCAGAGATGTGGCCATAGACTAAACAAGCAGCAATC